AGATAAGTACTTATTCGCAAATATATAACAATTCAAAGTAATTAGTAGACATTAAAAGCAATAAATATCAATTTATGTGCATATACATATCTCAATAACACAATATTCTATACCTAAAAAGAATATGGAATTTGATTTTTTTGATGCCATTTTTCACATCCGGCTTTATTATGTCCAACTTTATGACACTGCTGACATTCTGTAGGTTTTCACCCTTTATTTTTCTGACGTTCTGCATTTTTCTGTTTTACCTCATGTGATCCCTTAAATCTTGTTTTGCATGGAGCACCTTTTCTTGTATGAACGATAGGATTCTGAATTAAAGATGGATTTATATTCTCAATATCTTGAGAATCTAATTCATTGTTATCATAATTTGAGCCAGAACTATCAAAGCCATCAGATTCATCAGAGCTGTCCGGTATATTGTAAGATTTAGCTAACAAAGCTCTAGGGTTTCTTCAGGATGATTTCTGATTTGGTGTATGTTTTACATACACTCTTTTCAGGTTACATATGTTTGAAAGTGAAGTGAAACTAAATAGGAAAATAAACCATAACAGCAAGACAAACAAACTTAAAAAAGGTTTCAAAGCAAGGGCACTTGCCCTTGTTACAAGAAAAAGATCTTTTAAAGCTTTTAATGGTGCAAAAAGCTTTGGCACTATGGCGAAAAAATAAAAAACAACAACAAATGCTGATAAGGAAAATACCAAAAACATGAAGCCTATATAAGTAGAAATAAGTAGAAATAGAAGACAATAACTCAGGTTCACTAGAACATGTCAACAAAAACAACTCTAGCTGGGATGAACAAGTAGCTCAAGAAACCAAAGAACTCAAAGAAATAACAAATATACATAAGGAAGAACTTAAAGAAAATAGAACATATATAACAAAAGAAAATATCTTATTGGTAAAAAAAAGTAACAACACTCATAAAACAAAACAACAATACTTTTACACATAATGAAGAGTTTATTGAAGACAACACTCTTAATGAAGAGGTCCTCGAAATTAGTACATGTAACAAAGATAACAATAAAACAACATGTGACAAAGAGGTTTCTGAGACTAGTACAGCTAACAAAGACAACATAGAAACTACATCTCAAAATGAGTCAATAAATGAACAAGTGGACTCCACTTTAGAAAGGAATACAATTTCTAGCTCTAGCAGAATAACAGAACTATTAACAAAAAAATGATCAAGTCTCTTTCTTAAACTTAAAAGAAGCCAGTCAACTTACTCATCCTTTTATCCTAGAAACACAATTAAATCAAAAAATAAAAATGCCCTTATTATAGATATACAAAGCCTATGATGCTCTTTTAATGAAATTATGTCATCATTATTTGAAATTGCTAAAAATGACATCATTGCAGCTAAACAACATCTTACTAAAGGAACATGATTACATCTAGAAATCATCTTCACAAATAGAGAAAAACTAAAATTCTATGCAACAAAAGGTGTTAAAATTTTTAACAGAACATATTTTGGATATGTTCCAATGAATATGAGGAAATTATTCTTGCCAGTCAAAATCAGAAATATTTCATTAGGCAACAAAAAAGAACTGTCAGACTCAATCAAAGATGCTTTTGAGAATATAGGTAAAATAGCATCGATTAAACCTCTGTTAATTGAAGGTATACTATACCTAACAGATCAGTGGGTCATAATTTTTGAGACTACAGAGGATCCATTTTTAGAAGGTAAAATACCAAGGTTTACCCATATTTGAAATAACAAGGTCACAACAAAGTGGAAGGCAGCAGCAAAAGTATGCTACTTCTGTGAAAAAGAAGGGCATATTAAAAAGGAATGCCAGCTATTTCAGGAATCAGTAGCTCTCTGCCAACAATATCAAGACTTCAAAAAAAGAATTAGATCATATAGCAAAGATAATTTTGTAAATATTAGGCCAGAACAAGAATTTCATGCAGCTAATCCTGCTAACAAAGAATAAAACCCATACTTGCAAGATGATATACCTATTACTAACAGTGCAGGCTTACAAGAAAATGATTTAACACAAGAAGATCAAAATGGGCCTTTGTTATCTTCAATGGAAATAGACAACAACAAAAGAAACTCTTCACTAAGTAAAGATAAGGACCTATCATCTGACCAAGTAATAGCACCCTATGATGAACTGGCTGCACTGTATCTTAATGCAGAACCACAGGCAGGAAACAAAAATACAGATGAAACATTACCTATAATAGAAGTTAACAATGAGAAGGCCTCTATGCCATCTCATAAAAAAGACAAAGATAAAAAAGAAAAAAGCTTACAGGATAAGAACCAATTAAGGCCTAGCCCATACAGAAAACAATGCAATAAGGAACTGCCCTCACAGACCTAATTGGGTCAAAATTTTCATACATTTACATGCCTCCAAAATTCAAACTCAAAATCACAACTTTGAATGTAAAAAAACTAAAAGATTAAGGCAAACAACAAAAAACATTAACACTCTTAAAATCCTACAATTTAGATTTAATAATGATACAAGAAACTAATCTCAACAATGAAAACACTAAGAACTTTTTAAAATACCAATGGATATATGACTTATTCTGGTCAGACAAAGTGGCAATTCTGGCTGGAAACAGAAACATTACCTTTAAAAATATGAAAATACACCAAGATGGACAAGTTATTACAGCTTTATTTGTCTACAAAGGTCTCTTATTTCATATTACTAATATGTATGCACCTCCTAACACTAGCAACAGAGTAATATTTTGATAACTGGACTCCTCAAATAAAAGAAAATGCAATAAACATTATAGTAGGAGACTTCAACATAAACCTAAAACCTGAAGCAAACAGAATAAGTCAAGCTGTACTTCAGCCAGACCCATCCAGGAATTAACTGTTAGAATTAACAAGAAATCTTTCAAACACTGCAGAAATTGCAGGCTTTAAGTCCTTTCTTACATTTCACCAAAAAACACAAGATGGTAACATAATGGCAACATGTTTAGACTACATATTTATTGATGAAAATCAATTACATTTAGTCTCTAAGGTCACTACACATTTTGAAAACTCTGACCATCTTCTAGTTAGTTGCTCACTTAACTTCAACTGGAAATGAAAACAACCATCCAGCTGGCAATTTAATAAAACCATGTTTAATAATAAAAAACTTTAAAAAGAGGTTTTTGAGAAAATCAGTGAATCAAATACAACAGAGAACTGGGATTGATTATAAGAGCATTTAGAAAGCCAAGAACAACAGAAAGCAAAATCTCAAAGCTTAACAATGATATAAAAAAGTTAAGTAAAAAAAATAGCTAGTTCATCAAACTCAGAAAGCTTGTTTTTATTTCTAGATGAGCTTAATGTATAGCTACAAGAGGAGTTAACATCTTTGGCAGAAAAATGGCACATCCAGTCCAAAGTGCAATGAATAGAACAAGGTGAAAAATCAACAAAATATTTCTTTGCAAAATATAAACAAAGAAAATCTCTTGCAGCCCACTCAGAAATTAAAATTTCAAATAGTAATTATTAAAATAGTAAGAACATTTATAGTACATTAAAGAACAATATGCAGAAACCTACAAAGCAGAAGAGTTTGACAAGAAAGCAGCAGAAGAAATCACAGAAAACCTTCTACAAGTACAACATGAATCCAACAAAGGCCTAGTCAAAAGAATTACACAAGAAGAAATAATAGAAGTTATACAAAACCTATCAAATAACAAGTCTTCAGGAATAGATAGCTTAACTTATGAATTCTACAAACTCACTAAAGAAGCAGTAGCACCAGTTTTGAAGAAGATCTTTAATAAAACTCTAAACTCTGGCATCCTTCCAGTCTCATGATGCAAGAATCTAATCATACTAATTCCAAAAAATCAGAAGAGCTTGACAATATAAACAACTGGAGACCTATTTCACTAGTTAATAGTGATGCAAAAATTTTTATGAAAATCATAGCCAACAGGTTAAATTTAATCTGCAATGATCTAATCCCAAGCCACCAACAAGGCTTCATCACAAACAGGTCTATAACAGACACAGCTCTTAATATCTTAACAACAATGAGAGACCAAAAAGATAACTCTAAGCAACATTGAATACTATTTGTTGATCAGCAAAAAGCATTTGACAGAGTAAATCATGAATTTTTAAAATTAGTACTAAACAAAATGAACTTTGATCCAAGATTTGTTAACTTAATCGGAAACCTCTTCACTAACCAGGAGGCCTATATAGTAGAAAAAAATAACCTGTCTGAATCATTAGAATAGAAAGAGGTGTGTGACAAGGAGATCCTCTTTCACCTCTTCTATATGTTTTAGCATTTGAACCAATGCAAAAACAATTAGAAAGAAATCTTAAAGAAATTTCACTAGGGAAAAAAAAAACTCACACTCTCTCCATCTACATTCAGTAGTGGAGAAAAAAATCAACAAAAACTATTAAACCTTTATTGAAAAAATTTACTAAAAACAACACAAGGGCTAAAACCCTTGTGCCTAGGAAAAGAAAACAAGCTTGTTTAACTATGTCT